AAATACTGGGGCACAAACTGAACTGCTGTAGGACAGAACTCACTAATGACAGAAATAAGATGCTGCCATCCTAGAAAGGCCCTTTTAATGTGATGCCCTCCTGTGACCACCCCAATCCAATAAAAAACAGCCTGAGAGATGCCTTCCTTTTTTTTTCAATAATTACTTTTTCTTCCTGGTTCTCATGCCCTGATACAGAGCTATGAACATTATTTGCACTGCCAATTGCAGGGAAACTGGTGTTTAAAAAAAACAATAATCCAATCAAAGTTTCAGTTTGTGGCCTTTACTAATTAATAGTATTCCATTAAATAGGAATATTACCATTTCCTTATTAGACTTCTCAGCTATCTTCCAGGTAAAAATTACATGGAGAAAGAGTATGAACAGGCATCAAAGAAACAGCCACATATTGCAGCACTGTTAACCAGCTCCTGAAAATTACAGCTCCATCTCCTGCTCACAGCCAGTCCTAAATATATTTGGACACTCACTCTCATTGCAAATGCAGTGGCTTCAGTTTTGTGCCAGGTAAGAGAGATGAGAATCCAGCTCCCAGTCTGCATTTCTAACTCTTCACAGAACAGGAGAGTCCAAACATATTTTAGTTCTTTATAGCTGCTCTTCACAGACAACTAAAGATCTTTATCACATAAAAACAGAAGGCACTGCCACAGAGTGTAATTACATGCTGCTGGAGTTGACTGTTTTCTCCCAGAAATAGGAAATAGTTTGAAAAATGTGGTTTCTGCTTAAGCCATATTCTGAGTTCCCTAGATAAAATACTATCCCTAATTCCTGTGCAGATAAATGGGAACTCTGGCACTGCAGGGCTGAGTAACTCACGGGAACGGGTTTGGAGCCTGGGCTTGGCAGGATCCAGCTTCCTGCTCCAGTGACCAGCTGTGAGTAGCCACAGCGGAAAATCAGGTTTAGGCTCTGTTCACACCACCCAAAAGTTCCTGTCCCAGGGATGGGGTGGAAGTTGGTAGGGATGATTCCTTGCTCCTCTTTAGCTGCTGAAGAACCCAGCACTGAAGGCAGTGTGCCCTATGGAGCCTTTCCCAGCACAGCAGCATTTGCACAAAGGGTGCACTTGATGATCCTGGAGGTTTTTGTAACTTTAATGATCCATGACTGCAACCCCCCAGCCGACACTGAGCCCTGCACCAAGGGAGGAGAGGCCGGGGCTGCACAGCCCCAGCACAGGAACAGGATGGGGGCTGCACATCCTCGGCCGCATCCGCACCAGCAGCACTGGCGATGTCCTGCCTGCAGGGACATGGCCTGTCAGCCAGCAGGACAAGCAGCGTGCACAGATCCACCAGCCCCACATTCCTCATTCCTTCAGCAGGCCTCAATTAGGATTGCTGTACATATCCTAAGACCACTGGCACTGGACTGTTGTCTCTTACTGTACAGCTAATAGAAAAAGGTTCTTACTTCTACTGAAATAGAGTTTCCAAAGGGGAGGGAAAAGGTGCTTAAAGGAGAGTAATTATTGTGCTAAATAATTATCAATAAATTATAAGAAGTACAAGCAACTCAAAATAGCTCCATAAAGATGAGTAAATATAATCTGAAGAGGTGTCTATGAATCACACTCCATCTCTCTTATTACCACAAAACAATAATGGTTCCTACATTTTACTACAGAACTTTTCACTGAAGATGCAAGAGATCTTTATAACCATTATTTCACCTCCCAGCTCCCAGCTGGGAAGCCCCATCTCCACCAGGAAGAGCTCAGGGAGCAGGAATGTGCCATTCACCTCACACGACACCAGGTGCTGCAGCAGAGCTGGGAACAGGAGCAGACCCCGGCCTCCCATTTTGTGCATTAACCACAAGATCATCAAATGTCACCCAGTTATTCCAACTACTCACTAACCCATTGCTGATAATTGTTTCTTGTGCCAGAGAAGCCCTCTGTCTGTCAGGGAGCTGCAGTGTGGCTGGCAGCCCCAAGGGCTTTGGGAAAGGTGGACAGAGCAGGGCCAGGACACACGGACAGGTCTGCCTGTACTTGGTGAAATGTCCTGCCCATGACAGCTCCTCCTCTCTGGAGTGGGGTCTGAGGTGAATGGACACAATTCTGCCTTAAACCCCAGCATGTCACAGGCTTCCAGAGCCATTCTGCAGCTCTGTGCACGCTGCTCACGTCACACAACACGTGAAAAAACTGACTTGGGTTTAAAGTGAAACATTATTTACTGCTTCAAAAATCGTTCAGGTTACCAAAGGCACATTCCTTCAAAACAAGTCAATGGAACCAAGCTCAACCTTCCCCAACTCGGGTTACTTACACAGACCCTCCCTGTCCCTATTCCCTGACTTTAATCAGGGTTCTCTCCCTCTGCTCTTTGCTTTTCCCACTCCATCCCTTTTCAGTCCTTGCTTCTCTCCTAATCCTGCTCTCTTGCCATTTCTAGTCTCTTCCCCTCCTTTCTTTACAGTAATTTCCATTTCCTTTGAAATGTTTTGGCATTTAATGCTGGCTTTATTCTTCCTTCTCCATCTGCTGCTCTTGTCTTTCTAAATCTCTTCTGGAGCCTTCTCTCGGGAGAAAGCAAGAGAGATGTACTGTGTTCCATGCACTGCTTCATCTTTCTGGATTTCAGTTCCCTTCTTTGCCTTCGTGCCTTGGAATCAGACAATCCTGCTGTCCCTGGAAGCTGATACCAACTAAAATGTCTCCTTGCAGCCCCACAGTAGCAGCACTGTGCTGTACTGGATCTCCTGCTCCCTCTGAACACAAGGATCTCAGAGAGCACTGGGAAATTGCTGCCACTTCTCCTATAAAAACTACAAGACTGCAGAAAGCAAAATTACTGGTAGATTTTACTCCCCATGCCTTGTGCTCAACATTTGTGGGATCTTCTGGCCATGGAGACTTGCTCCACCAGCTACAATCCATTTTCCAAGGGAGTTTCCCCCTCCCTAAGGGTTTTTCTTCTCTGTAAAATCTTCTATTTCATTATCAGAGCTTACAGGGAACAAAGGAGAAATAACCAAGCTTAACTACTAAAACTGCTTTTAGACAAATCTCCCCTACATTGTCTTTCCCACAGATTTTCATTTGGAACTCAAAGGCTCAGCTCTGAGATGCCTCTTCCCAGCCTGCTCCCTTGGCCTCTGTTCCCAGGAAGGGAAATAGCTGCAGCATGGAAGATGACAAGGACATTTGCCAATTAGAAGCACCACAACAAATTTCTCTTGGGAAATGTGCAGCCCTATCTGCAAGTGTACCTTTGAACTAAAACATAAGACATAACAGAAACTGATCACAGATTAAGCAAGGCAAATATTAAGAGAATGGTGAACGCATTTTTTCTCCTATCAATTTTTGTTTATTTCCAAACTTCAACCTAAAGTCTGACTATCTGAGAAAGTTTTCCTTATATTTGTTATTAACTGGTATGTTTGATATTGTCATACCAGTGGGAATGATGCCTCCTGAATGTTTTTGCTTTCAGAAAGGCAGAAGGAAAATAAACACCTGAAAAAAAATCCCTTGCAGCCAGCAAGATGGATTTTGCAAAAAAGGGTAAGATTTAAGTCACAAAAATTACAAATCCTTTACAGTTGCACTTACATTGCCAATACACAGAAATAAAATAGAAGAAATGAAGCATTTATCAAGGTTCCAAAATAAAGTGAACAAGAACATTAACAAATGCCAAAGCTTATAAAAGCCTCAAAGCACTCAGATCCTCCCTTCTCTCACAAGCTCAAAAGGGAGTCAGTTTGTTCCTTAATTTTATCTTACTTGTTTCCCACACCACCTTTTCTCTGGTCACAGAGATTTTGCTTTATCCAATGCCTGGAATATACTTGACCATGGCATGAGCAGCAGCCACAAACAGAGGAGTGCAGAATCCCACACCTGTTTCTCAAGGTTTTCCACTGTTGTTTCTAAACCGATGTTTTAAACACAGAGCATATTCCCGTGGATTTATTACAAGCTAAAAGGGAAATATGTATTTAACAAGACCCAATTCCTCTGAAATGTGCTGAGCTAAAACCCAAAAAGAGACCAAGAAGGAACGTGATGAATCCTGCCCCACTCTCCTCTGGCAGCTCCATGTTTATGGTCTCCTGCCTCCCACCTGCAAACAGCAAATTCTCATGGCTACACGTGCCACACCAAGTTCACCAGCACAAGAAGTGAGAAGTGAGTGAATTATCTTCCCTGATAATTATCTGAAAGGTATCTACAGGGATAACAACAGATTTTCAGATCGAAGCCTGATTTAAGCTGACCGACCCTTTCAGCATTTCTAAAGAAATAATGGATTATAAAACTAATTCAGTGAAAAATGAAAGTAAAAATAGAAGCGATGAGACATCTTCTAAATAAGCAAAGCTGCTTTTACAGCGTGCTGAATAACTGCAGTGTGGTAAACATACCACTGTTATAAATAACAACCAGCCTTTTGACATTGTTCTTTCAGTAATTATTTCAAATTCTCTATCAGCCCTAACGAAGCAAACCTCCTGGTTCTCCTGCAAAGTGAAAAGAATGACTCCCATGTATAGGAGGAAAAATTAGGATATAAGGACAGAAAACAATGCTCCAAAGCTACAGTGGCACAGTACAGAGCACTCAGGAAGTCTCATGGTGTAAGAGAAAAACCATCTTCTCGTTCAGATGGGAGTGTTCCCTAAGTGACTGATTTGCAGCATTTACACATCATTTAATTTTACACAGAATGCATCAAAATTTTTAGATTTAACCATAATTAGTAAACGATCAAGACATATCAAAGTTTTATACTGGTAAGTAAGGCTCAAATTCTTTTTAAATGGAAACTCTGATTTCTCTCTGCTAAGGCAATTTCTTGTTTTGCTTCAAGTCTTAATCATAAAACCATTAAAATAAACATTTTGTGTTAAAAATGCTAGCAGCTGCCAACAGATAATACACAGCACTTTGTCAGATTATAGATAAACACCAGACCAGGCACAACAATGGTTAGTAAGGAATTGTGTCTCATTACCTTTGTGGTCTTCTTGGGCCAGCTGACCACAGGGACACCCGAAATGGCAAGATTTTGGTCATCATCAGCATGCTCCTTTAGTATGTTCTGTTGTAAATGAAAAGGCCTTTATTAACCAGAGAAACATTTCTCCAACTCAAGAGTGCAGAGGCCTCTGCTCTCGTGGCACAGGACAAGATCTCTGCAAGTTACTTTTGCTTCCAAACCTCCAATTCCCACTGAAACTCTAGCACCTCTCATTAACATCCAAATGTGAAACTTCTTGCAAAACAGGCAGCAAAATCAGCCATCAATCACCTCAAATGTTACAGAATTCTTTAATACTGGCGTGTCCAAGAGCGGTGTTTTAGCAGTGTCACCTCTCTCCCTCAAATCCAGGTCATTCAATCCCAAGTGACCCCACCTCTGACCCTTCTCTCCCAGTCAGGCCACAGAAGGCCTGAGAAGCAGTGAGGCTCTGCCCCTGTTATTTCAGCCATCACAGGCATCAGGTGTGCAGTCTGGAGCAACCCTCAGGTGCCTGATCATTCAGGTAAGCCAAGAACAAAAATGTGCTCTGGAGCCTTTCATCTTTTCGCACATGGCAGTCCAAGAGCACCATCATCCCCCGTGACAGGCAGGACAGAGCTGCTGAATCCAGCTCCTTTATGTGACCAGCTGAGGCATTCAGGTTCCTGAGAGATCACCAGGAAAGGATCTGAATGGAACAGCATTAAGGGAAAAAGATTGGTCTCCCCTCCCTTCCACCGCCACCAAGCCCTTTTCTTTGATGCACTGTTCTAGAGATTTCGTGAGTGGGTTGCACAGGCTGACACAGCTTCCACCACTGTGAATCACTCCCATGACCAGTAACCCAACACAGAGCTGGTGAAACACTCCATGTGCAGCTGGGAGCAGTCCACGCTCCCCTCCCGTGACTCCCTACATGCTCACTAATTTAGCTACAAAACTCTTCATTTTGGACTTCAGGTGGCTGAAAAGGAAGAAATGAAAACAAAAAAAAAACAGGAGTCAGGAGGAGGATTCTGCTGTGCTGCTGAAAACTGAAGGCCAAATCAGCACCAACAGGTTAAAGACCGAAAATAAAAAAGCTCCAGTAGAACAAATGAGAACTGCAGGTTGGAAATGACTTCAACAGAATATTTAGGAGATGACCCCAGACAATGAAGTTCAGCAGTGCAGCTCCCAAGTATATGAAAAAAGCTTAATTAGCCAACAACAGACAGCAGGCTCTGTCAGTCCCCAGTGCAGCACTCTAGTAATTAGTAATTTCACACACTATACAAAAAGAGCTTAAAATACAGTAATTGTTTTAATAGGGAGCGCACTTGGAATTCATCTGTAATCATCCACCTAAGGCCCAGAGTGTGATGGCAGGCTCCAGTCCCCAGGAGCCTGGGTTTGGATCAGTGTCCCTGGGCTCACTCTCTCCCCGGAGCTCAGCCAACCTGTGCCCCTCAGCCCAATTCCCCGGGCTGTGCTTCCATGGAGCTGTGCTACACCAGAGAGCACAGCCCAGCACAGAGCTGCTCCTGCACACAGCACCTCCCCAGCAAGGCTGTTGCTGATGCTGCTCAGGCTGGAAGCAGCACCAGGGACCAAAATAAGCAAGGCCACAACAAGCCCAGTTTCATCAGCCTGGTGCTGTGGCTGCACTCACGGGTTTGCAAAGCTGAAGGGTGAAACCCAGCTTGTCCCAAGCTGGCTGTGATGCAGAGTCTGTATTGGACCTGCTCTGCCAGTGCAACACCCGACAACTTTTAATCATTGGCAAATTAACTCTGGCCAAGCTGAGGTGAAGTGAGAATCTCTTTTCTCATGTCCTTTTCATTTGGAGAGAGATCTCTGCATTAACTGAGCTGTGACCACACTCTGCAAGTTCAATCCTAAAACTGAGAGCTCTTTTGTATTCTCATTGCAAAGCCAAAATTCTCCAGAACAAGGAGGCGGCTTGAGAGCCATAAACAAAGGACAAATTAATCCCTTTTCACTTTGCCACTCTTAGGTTTGAAAGCCTGTAAGACAGAAAATCTCAACATTTCCACTAACGACTGTCAGAGACTCGGAGTTCAATGGAAAGCACAGTATATTCCAAGAACTTGGCAAGGTAATGAAGGTTTCTTGTTATCATATGTATCACGTGAAAATATTATCCAAGGAGAAATGCAAAACGATGGCAGCTTCTCATGTGAGGCTGCTGAAAACAGGGGCTGTCTGCACAGAGCCCAGCACAGCACAGCCACACTTGGGCTCACTGCAGTCAAGTGTCAGCTCACAACAGGCTGGGGGAGGCAGGGTTTTGTTCACCTGCTTAAAAACAAGAAAAAAGAAGATAAAGAAAAGCCATGGGGCTCCAGTTAGAGGAACAACATGATGCTCTTCCAGCACAAGGTGGCTCAATTCATTACACTTGAGGGCTGTGGTGACAACAGCAGGTATGAAGGGAAGAAGCTGATTAACTGTGTAAGAATTCAGCTTAGCCATTAATTTCAAAAGCACAGCAAGGAATGACTCCCCTGAAATACATTCAGTAGAGGGAGGTTTTTTTCTGTCATCAGAATGGGAAGGGGGTAAGATTTCTTGGCAAGGAAAAGTAAGAACATATTTCAGTAGATATCATCTGTCTTGCACAAGAATCTTCTCCTGCTGCCAAGGAGTTGCAGATATTTGACAACCTCTGTTCTTCAAACCGAGTTTCTTCTGCTCTAATGGACTTCCACAGGCCCTTCTGAAGAACAGCAGTGCTTCTGCTCTGAAGTGGGCAAGGTCTGTGGCATTAGTAAGAGGCAGATCTCACAATCCTGTTCCCCAACAGCAGCAGAGGAATTGCCATCCTCTGGTACCACACAGAAATGTTTTGTGCAGAATCAGAGGCTGCACACAGGTGAGAATCCCTGGCAGTGGTTCCATGTGTGCCACAATCCAAGGCCTGCTCAGCTTTACCTGTCCTGTGACGTGGAGTGCAAACCACACCAAGGAGGACAATGGTGACAGATCACAGTGACCTCTTCTTCCTCATGGACAAGCCCACCCCAGCCCTGCTGCAACCACCAGGGACTGAATTCCCTGTTTGGGCTGAGGGAAGAACTGCCCTGCTCTGCCTGTTCCTCTCTGCAAATAAGGCTCCCCTGTGCTGCTGCACTCCATCCATCACGGTGATAAATGGGTGCTCAATCTGCAGAGGCAGCACTTGGCACTTCTGGATTGCTGTGTCCCCACCAGACAGGCACACTTAGTTTGGAGCTCAGATGATGTGTAAGGAATTTACACAGACTTAGTTTAGTTTTCAGTCTCCCTTCTGGTAAGGAAAATAAATTACTTTACTTCAGAAAGTCTCACCTGCTTGACATTAAATAGCTGTAAATAGCTGTGGTTGTGTTTACCACTAAGAGCAGTAATCCAGTCACCCATCCTTTACTGAGCTCCTGCTCAGCTGGGAAAGCATGGATTCTTTGTGAGCTACCCCGATTCCTTCTGTGGAACTTCACATCACTGAATAAAATGGTTTCCTTTCTCCAGTTTAACTATCCATATCCTGTTTTCTGAAAACATTAATTATCTTCCTGAAGCACAAAGACAGACTTGAATGTCATACAAAAAAAGTTCCTGAGTGTATTTCATTAAGAAATAAAAGTGCTAGAATAAACACTGATTTATTTGCTTCAGGAAGAAACTTGTTTAAGACTTTCCCAGCAGAGCAAGAGCTTTCAGACTTTGTCAGAGCATGTTCTTGCTATGCATTTGTTAAAAATAACTCTCAAATGGGTGCACTAAAAGGGTACTTCTAATAGGAAGCATTATTAATACATCACATGCCTGAAAGTTGGGTTGCCCATGAAATAAACCTTGTTAATACAGCCAAGCACAGTCACAGCACGGGTCATTAGCACAGCTCCTGCAGGATTCCTGCCTCCATTCAGCCACACAGCTGAGTGCTGCCCTGGGTATTCATCAGGGTGAGCTAAAGGGGCTCTGCTCACTCCACTGCTGATGCTATCAGCAAACCCCACCTTGTTATCTGTACAGGTTGGAAAAGTATAGCAAAGTAAGAGAGGACATGATTCAGTGGTCAAGGAGATAAATACCATTCTGGAAAATGGACTGTATTTCTTCCTCTGCCATTATGTCTTTATGTGGTACAGGGCAAATCTTTCAAGTTAAGTTTCCACAGGGTGTCATGAGTTCTATGCTCCTGCTCTTCCTCACACCTTGGGATCTGGTGCCAAAGACCAGAACTCCTGCTCTGCAGGAATGTTAAGCCACGACTGTTTCAATATAATTAAAATCATCTTTTGCACATATCATTGTTAAATACAATAACTGTCCTGTGGCATGTAAAGCCAGTACCCAAAATTGCTTTTACCTGAATCTCCACCAGTTCCCTGTGATAACAACAGCTCATCCATCCTGTGTGGATGGAGCAGAGGGTGGGGATCCCTGGGAAGCCCAAGGGAGCACTGATTCACCCTGTCCAGCTGAGGGGCTGAACATCAGAACCTGATGGAAGAGCAAGGGTGGAACTGCTGCATCCTCACACCAAGGAACCCTGGATCCTTGTGTGTGGAGCATGCTCAGAGAACTCAAATCTGTCACTTGGCAACTCCTCCCTCAGCACGCCCCACCCTTTGAAGGTAAAAGCTCTAAACACAACTCACACACTTGGGTTTGATGTTTTTTTTTTTTTTTGAAGTGAATAAACTGAATAAAACAAACCTCATGCTCTGAGGAGATGGGATGCTTTGGCTCCACTGCATCCCTCCCAGGAAGGAGGGATGGCTGCTGCACCCAGGCTCCCAGAATGGGTCACACCTTGTCACTGGCTGCCTGTGACAATCTGCTGATGAGCGAAGAGAAGGCCTTGCTGGGCATCCTGGACTCCCCCCTGATCTGGAAGGCAATGCACTCAACTGCCCCTGACTGCCCCCATTCCTTCAGAGCCCCTGGGAAGGGGATTGTGCAACCACAGGGAGTTATGGAGGAAGCTGACTGCAATTTAATTAATTTACTCTGCCATACTGACTTCTACTCTCTGAAGACTGGCTTATATGTGGGTCAATACTGTAAAAAGATGGGTGAGAAAGTTCTTTAGCAGTTCTTTAGACACTGTTCAAGAAGATGTTTGAGTTTACGTGGGTTTAAAAAGTCTGACTCTGGCTAATCAGACACAGACTGGCCAAACATCCAGAGGTGATTCCAGGGGAAACAATCCTGCAGCGTGTCTGATGTTTAGATGTGGTCATGGGCTCTTCCACCAGCAGGGAACCATCAGTATCCAGATGTTGGGCTACATCCTGATGGTTACAGCATGTGCTGGCAAGGACACAAAGTTTAGGAGCCACAACCAGTTATCACAGGAGAGGAACATCAAGCTGTACACATAACTGGCAGGTGCTCACTCAATACCAGTTACAGCACAATACCACCAAAAAGGTGATACTGGCGTTTTTGTAACAGTCCATTTGTGGTTCTCCATCTCTGTAGTCAGTGAATCCAGTGCTCTGGAGAGGAATAGGAAAACAGATACTCCCACACTGTGCTTTAAGCCAGATTCACATATGGTACCTTGCTGTGTTCTGGGGAGATGTCTCACAGCACTCTGGAGTCTGGCATCCAGAGAGGGAGAGGATCCCACTCACAACATCTGCACCAGCCATTGGATGCTGCACCCCTTTCTGGATTGTGAAAATTACCCTGGGCATCAAGCTTGAGAAGGAACATGACCATTCTTTCTGCTTCACCACAAATTCAACTTCTGGTCTTCATTTTGACTTCTGATTGAAAGATGACTGATCCCAGAGCAAGCTGGTGAATCCACATCTGCAGCTTTGAGCAGGTGTGTCCACTTTCATGTATAAAGTGGCTGATTTTGCATGAAGAAAATTCCTGAGCTCTTGTGGTTTACCAGAATGAGAGCAGTGTATCACACTTCCAGGCTCCAAGATCAGGGAATGTGGTTCCACTGCACTCTGCACATGTTCAGCCTTCTCCAATGGCTTTGAAGCCTTTCTAAGCAGCTGTTACACCACTCGCACTAAAATAGTACAGCCTCCCTCCCCATTTACCACATAAACACGTATTTTCCCCTCAGATTGTGCCTTACAGAGCTCTTGTGTATAGAAAATATGTAACTGAAGACCCAGACTGTTCACAGCCTGAAAATTCACAGAGAAGTTGTGGCACTAGTGAGTACTCACTCCTCACACCAACTCCTAAACCAATACATTGTACCAGTGGAGAATAATTATCAACCTATAGAGGGCAATGGAGGAAAGGAAAATGAAAAAGGTGAAAGAAAAAAAAAAAGCAGCTGGAAGTGTTAAGACAATCTATCTTCTGAGCTGCAATCAAGTATTTACATTTTGTATGTGTCAGCTAATGAGGTGTACACCAGGGAGACACGAGACCAAAAAGGGCTGATTAAAACTGTAAATATAAACAGACTTTTTGAGGTATAATATTTACATGTGGAACATAACAAGTGCTGAATTATGAGAGGAAATAAACTTCTGGCCACTACTGTGACAGTCAGAAAGGACTGTGTCACTTAAACCTGGCTGCAAACAGGAGCCAGAGACAGCTTTGGTTCAAGGAATCACTTCCCTGTCAGCCAGAGCAGCCTGACATGAGCTGGTCACCACACGCCTCTGCCACCCCTCTGCAGCAGAACTCTGCCTTCTGCAAAAGAGTTTGTGTGAGCAGAGTTTGTGGGGATCACCCAGTTATCACACCCACCTTCATGTCCTCCAGGAGAGCCTGAGGGTCCTCAATGCCTTCTGGAACACACTTCTTGTTCTCTGGGAGGGATTCAAGCTTTTCCACCAGGGCTTTTAAACCCTTCAGTTCAAATTCTGTGAGGTGAGTCCATTTGGTTGAAACTTCTGTGGCTGGAGACCCCGTGGGTGTTTTGGGATAGTCCGTGGGGGTCGTTGATTTGATGCTGTCGTCCGACTCATTAGACAAAGTTCTTTTCAGGTACCTCATTACTGTGGCTTTCTGTTTCCTCCCTGCAGCCTCCTTCCCCTCTGAGTGTGTGCTGTTGGGTGAGGAGGAGCCATCCACCAAGGATTTGGAGTTCTTATCCAAGCTGTCATCCTTCTCCTCCTGGAGATGGGCATCACAAGATTCTTCATCCATGTCTAACCACGAATCTGATGAGTAGCTGTCTGTGCTGCGTTTTCTTTTTGCATCTGAAAGTTACAAAAAGAATGCTGAATTTTTAGCCAGCGTAACCTCACAGCTGAAGCACTTCTGTACCACTGGGGCCAGGTGCTGCCTATTTCAAAGGGCACTGGAGAATGGTTTAGTGAGTATGTGACAGGAATGGGCTTTATTCAGCTGATTTTTAATTTTTTTTTTCTTTGAGGGGGGTGCTTGTTTGTCTGTTTTAATGCTGGTTTTCATTAACATCTACTCAGTTCAAATGACTGGGAAACATTTAGGGAAAAATTATGCTTTCTTCAAAGCTTCAGTCCTCTATGCCTTCAATTAGGAGGAGGCAGAGCTCTTAAGTCACACACAATTAATTTTCCCACAAATCCGAAAAAGACCAGATTCGGCAGCTTTACAGCTTTAAGAGGAGAGCTAGCACAGAAGGAGGAGGGGGAGATGATGGCAGAAGGCACGTTAAAATGCTGTACATCATCATTCTTCCAGGAACCCTGCACAGCACAAAATCAACTCCTCACTACTTTTCCTCTCTGCAAGCAACAAGCTGTTGATAAAACAGGAACCCCCAGTTGTTAGTGCATGAACACTCATTGCTCTTCTGAGACACAGGATTTCAACTGGGCTTATTTTACGACAACAAGACAAAACACACTGAGAAACACAGCGACTGTCACAGCTACATGCTACTGGTTTTCTTAATGCTGTTCCCAACATATTTTAGGTACTTCTCAGGAAAATTTAAAGGCAAGTTGCTGAGTCTAAAGATCTATTAATCTTAATTTCCTCCTAAGAGCCCCAATTGTTACCCAACTCCGTGCAATCAAGCAGTGAAAGCAGTGTAGGAAACCAGTGGCCATGGTTCCCTCAAGCACACATCTTTTCTTATTTATTAGACACAATTTCCCTGACTAAGTGAACAACATTGAATGCAGGCTAGCAACAGCAGGAATTTCTGTGGAAAACACAGTTAACATTGGCAACACCCAGTTAAATCAATTTATTACTGGCTGAAATGGGTATGAGATCAAGCTGCAAACAAAAACACTGCAAAGGAAACAGAAGTCACACAGAAAAAGTGAGAGAACAATTAACGAAAAGTTCCTTTCACAGCTTCCATGCTTTGCAGTAGCTTTGGATTAGGACAATGTGAACCATGCTTAAGGAAGGATTAAATGGACATTAATGAGAAAGCTCAGCATCCGGCTGTTGAACAGAGAGGTTCAAATGCTGGAGCCCAGTTCCAAGGTGGAGAATTCCTCCTGGTCACAGAGACACCCCTTGTCTGTGCTCATCTGCACCACCTTGTCACAAGCCCACTGGCCAGAGGTGCCACAGGCAGGGGCCCTGCTCAGCTCTGGGTGTTACTGTCCCACAGACACCCTTTGGTCACCTCACACTCCCCAGGGCAAGAGTGCTGCTGCTGCTACAGGGTCTGCAAAAACCCAGCATCTCCATCCACTCTACTCCTTCAGACAGGCTTACATTTTTCCTCAAAACCAAAATGGCCATAAAATGACTCCTGAAAGCAAGTTTAAGCTGAAATGCCTGTGAAAAGATGGCAGCCACAGAAAACAGCAGCTATCAGCAAGGCAGGGTGCAGCTAAATCCAGCTCCATCCACAGGGCAGGGTACCTTCCTCCCTGCAAGCCTCCAAAAAAGCCTCACAGATTATTTTGTGTGCTGAGGTGGTGGCATCAGCACTCCAAAGCAGCTCCTCCTCTCTGCTCTGTGCTAATACACCCCCATGCTTTTCTTAGAAAAATAAACAGGATTAGAAAATATCTTAACTAGAACATTTAAAACCCACTCAGTTATCCAAGTTTTATTTCACACTGTTTTTCCTTTGTCCACAGTAGCAAGCACACGTACCCACCTCAAAGGCTACATAATCAGCTTATGTCATTCTCCCATTTTACAACTGAGGAAACAGATGCTTGGAGAAAGCACGATTTGCTCATTGTCACACATCAAATCTAGGGAAAAACCAGGAGTCAGAATCCAGGCTGCTGGATCCAGGGCTGGAGCCCCCTCCCCTGAGCCACACAGCCCTGGGGAGCTGTTTTACAACTGACTCAAGCACAAAGCCCAGCCTCAATGGAGAAAATGCCAGAGCTCTGGCATCAAACAGGAGAGGGTGGAAGCAGATCCACATCCCTACGCTGCAGGACGGTGTCATCAACAGAAAGTGGTGTAAATCTGCACAAAGACAATTATGTTTCTGTCCTCCTGTGCTGTGGCTGTGCTGAACAGGAACTAATGGCTGTAACTGGGGCAAAGCACAAGTGTAAATAAGGCCTACAGAAACGAGGGAGATCACGTTATGGAGGTGTGAATAATTTACTCCAAGTAAAGCTCTGGTGCAGAGGTAAAAGCTTCCAAGAGACATCTCCACTTTTTGTCTCTTGCTCTAATCTGTGGAAACAAAAGGCAGGAGAGGAGTGGAGCACCAGAGCACACTGGGGCTGCTCCCAGAAGGAGGCAGCACACAGAGGGGGTGGCAGTTCTGCTCTGCCAGCTGCCACCTGTCCCTGCCACCGGCACCAGGCAGCCACACCTGGGCAGGGACAGCAAAACCAACTCCCATGTAACCCAAACAAACCAGCCCAGCAGCGCCCTGCTCTCTGCATGCCTGGCCTGACTCTCCCCCGGGCACAGGGCTTGCTGCTGGCCCGGAGTGTCCCAGGCTGTTCTGGAGCACCAGGGGATTACAGCGCTGCTGCTCTCCGGATTAAGAGCAGGCTGCTCTCCAAACACAACAACTGTCTGCTGCTGCTGCTAATCTGAAAAAAAAAAAGCACCAAGGGAATCAATAATGGAAGGATAACTTCAAGGTGAGGGAGATTCAATTTTGTGTTTTCAAGTGTTTTGTTGTAATGCAGCATGCCATGATTTTTATTTATTCATTTCAATGAAAACATTGTCTGACAGAGTTACTGTGCTGTGAGCTGAGGCCCTACATAAGCATAATCTGCATTTACTCTGTTGAGAAGTGCATTTTAAGCACTGTATTACCAGGGCTCCACTGACTTGGAGGTTTCTGGTTTATTGAGTCTCCCTGTGGGGAACAGCACCTGCTCAGCTCAGCTGTTTCTTCTCCTGAGTCAGTGCCCCAGTGGGCCCCAGGTCTGAACCCCAGTTTCAGAGGGGTTATCCAGTCTGGGCTCCCACACAGCTTAGTGCAAAAACACCTTCACCCCCCTCCTCTCAAAGCAAATACAACCAGCTCATCCAGACCAGTCTGTGATCTAGCTCAGGGTGGAGCAGCACAGACTTGACCACAGGACAGAGCATCAGAAACCTTTTCTACAGCAGTTCACTTCCCTGTGGCTCTGGGCAGACACTTCACTTTCCTCACAGTTATCCACTTGTACAAGAATAATTATACAGTTCCCCTCCTTGCTGAAAACCAACTTGCTGTATTACAGAACTTAAAAGAAAGGGATGGGGGTCAGGCATAATCATGAAACCTTTCTGAACTATTTAGAACAGTCCAGTGTCTACCTTGCTATTCCCAGCTCCAAACCCTGCCACTGTGACTTGGGAGCAGCAGTTGCTAACAGTCTGCTAAAGACAGCAATGACATTTTCATTAGCAGAAAAACCCTGAGCACACTGGAAATGTATCCCATTGCTCCACTGCATGGAGCCCCCACACGGGAGCCACTCAATATACTCAGGTACCTGTCTATCACAAGCAAATCTATTCTATCCCCCGAGGAAGAAGGGGAAAAAAGGAGACATGGCTCCTTCACTGTGCCAGAGGGCATCTTTTCTATATCCATCAGGCTTAACATACAGTTAGAGCCATCCTGTTAAAATTTTAGCAATGGGAATCTTCAAAGCTGCAGGCTACAGAGAAAGCACGTCTCTGATAGCCCAGGATCTTCTCCCAATTACTCTTTGTCAGCTCACTCTCAACATCCATATCTCACTGAAGGTCAACTGTGGTTGAAAACATCCAGTACAGACTCATTCATGATAAGAGTAAAAATAATGAAGACACATCCACCCTGAAAAACAGAACACATTCAAATCTAGTAGGAAACCCAAATAGGCTCCTTTCTGATTTCAGCTGGCAGGACAAATGTCCCAGTTGAGAGAGACAAGCAAAAGAAAAGAGAAAAAGAGATTGTGTGCTTTTCCAGCAGGCTGTGATCGCTGTCATGCCGTCATCCCCCGGAGTGTTTGCCCTCCTGGGAGGGATCTGAGGCAGAACAGCCTCACACACTGCCTGCAGACACAGCCTGGAGATCCATCCTGGCCTGAGCGATGGGGGAGGAAGGCACGGCCATCATCCTCCACCTCATCTCCAGCTGCACTCACAGTTTTATTTAAGGAGTGCAAGACCCCAGGTTTCAGCCGTGCCTCCACAGAGGCTTTTTCCTGTCTGAAGTTTTGTGAGTGGAGACATTTAGAAACCACAAATACAAAGAACAATACAAATACAAATTGCTACATAAAAGTATCGGGACAGAGGTATCACAACACAATCACACAAATTCACTTTCATTCTGTTAAATTCACTCTGAATTTAACAACCTTCATGTCAAATCAAATAAATACTATGTTATAAAAACACAGTATACGTTATGAAATGTTATAAAAACATGTTATAAAAACACAGTATGAAACGTCTAAAGATATCCTTAAAATCCAACTGCTGATTAACTCAGTTTTCTGTGTTCCCCAACAAAGTTCATTATCAAAACAGTAATTTTTTTTTTCTTTACACAGGAGAACAGAATCCCCACAAATTTTGAGAACTACTCCCTTGTGAATCCCAGAGACTGTGGCAGTGTCCTGCACTATCTCTAGTCAATGTCCTCCTCTACTGATAATCACTTTCTTAACTTCAAAGATCCACTACAACTATTGTACCAGAAGCTTTGTAAGGAAAGAAAGCAGCACAACTGGAGGGTGAAAAATAGAATGCCACAGCTCTAGCACCCAAAAGGAAAGGCAGAAAACAGACATTTAGAACAAATTTAGAACAAATTTCCAGTCAAGGAAATTGTTTTTTAGAAGCAGGAGAAACACTTAGATTATTCAAGAGAAACTTCTGAAAATGAATACAAGGATATGAAGATTTTTTTCTTAAACCAAGAAGGACAGCAGACAATTAAATCTACTGAGGGGTTTGAGGAGAAGTTAAGTACTTTGCTTCATTACTCTTTAAGGAGAATAATGGGAAATTCTTTGTCAAGGGATACTCCCTCATGGGAAATCAAGAAATTGCTTGCAGATAGAGAAGTCCCTAAGGAAGAGACAATTTAAGGACTTTTTCAGCTCTGAAGAAAAGCTTAAAAACAAAGAGGTAGGGCTTGGAACACTGATGTCTTTAGGATATCCCATCCCTCAGCAAGTGAACAAAATCAAGATACAGGCTCCACAGAACAAACCAGTTTTAACTCAAAGATTACAGTTCATAGAGATTCAAGACACACAGATCACTCAAAAAAAAAAAAAAGCAAAGCAAGTATTTGAAACTGTATTACTCACACAGAACAAAGCAATGCAGCTTTGTAAAGATAAATAATGTACCTTTACTCCTTTGAATTTGGCAAATGCCAAAGTGAAAGATCCAGCAGTATAGCAGACCTGGTCTATTGAACCACAGCCCCCACTAAAATAATTATTTTAAGGTTAAGTTTCTGCCAAGAAATAAAAACAAAACCCCAAGTTTCTGACAAAACAAAAGCATATGTCTCTCTCTGCCAGCAACTGAAGCCAGCACAGGGCACAGGACTTTGAGGAAGTCACCACCAAACCCTTTTCCAAGTAGCCAGGCTCCTTTTCCTGAAGCCTTTGGAGCTGGCACTCTTTGGTCATGCAAAACAATCCTGTTCCCTCTAGACAGTGGACATTACAGCTCCCAGTGAGTTATACATGACTGGGACATCTCCCAGCTAACTGGACTGAGGCACATTTCGTGGGGATCACCAAACTATTATCAGTAATTATGGAGCTGGGCTGGGATTCACACTGGTGATATTGCTGGAAAAGATCCCATCTCAATACCCTGAACCATCTACTCTCCACAGCTAATTTGTTCTGAAATGCCACGTGGCTGATCTGGCACCTCTGCCCTGCCTGCAGGAGCAGCCTCTTTGCATGCCAGTGCTTCAGACAACAGGAGATTGCTCCTTATTTTCCAAAGAATGCAGTTGTCACTTTTGTCACTGCTTTCTGAAGAGCTGATCCAAAGGGATAATTCATCCTTTCCACCTCTAGGATGATCTTATGAGAAAAATTCCTCTGGACACAGAATTTCTGCTTAACTAACCTTTCTGACCAGGGTCTCAGAGCTAAAATGTGAAGCACCCAAATGCCCAGTGACCCCAGGAATTCCCCCTGGACCATCCACATAGATTATTAGCTCCCTTAAATTATTCTTGGTCACTAAAACTCACTGGAGAGTGACATCTGTAACTTCTTCAATCCCTTCTGCTAAGAACTGTGTTCAGAGGTGAACATTTCCTTCTCTGTCCAGAGCCTGGGGCAGTGCCAGCCATGCCAGGCTCACTCCAAGTGGCACCTCAGGGAGCAGGAGGCACAGCAATACTTTAGTCCTCCTCCACACTTAACACTTATCAGTTAAGATTTAGCTGGTGCTGGTGCTATTTGCAGCTATTCTGTGCTTAAAAGCAGAGGGAACGTGGCCCACCACCACCTTCCATCAAAAGCAGGAAAAAGAGGGCAGTTCAGCACAGCAACAATTGGACTGGCACACATTGATGCAAAGCTCACACCAGTGCCAAGGAAATGCCTCAGGCACATCTGTCTGTCCTCTGGCTCATTTTCAGCTCTTGTTGTAAAGGTTTCTTTGACCTCCCTGAACCGGGGTGACAGATCATGGAGATTTGTGTAGGTGTTTTCTTGGGTTTGCTTTTCTGCAGAACCAGAACCCAGTCACCAGAGAATTACAGGAGAGTTTAAGGAAAAGAGAAGAGAAAGAAGGCAGGTTTAGTGACCACAATGTGTTCTGTACAGGAGCTGCCCTACAAAAGGACAAAACATCCACCCCACCAGAGCACAACTGCAATTCACACATTTCTGCTACTGAGGTGCTGTGCTGAACATGGCAGTAAATCCTCAACTGTTTGGCAGATCATCCCAACACAAACATTACTGAAACCAACGAACAAACACATCCAAAAATTATTTTCTGGGATCCACTTGCTAAGGGAATGTTCAATACATACAATTCAAAGCAGATTGGTACTTCATGGAAACGCTTAAGATCCAAAAATCTTCCCCACCCCAAAATAAGCAGTTCATTAGAATTTCTCCAGTTCTCCAGTTGAGTTTCTAATGTGCTTTGCAGAACCCAAAGCAGCAGCTGTGGATGTGCCCTGCAAGGCCTCACTCACCAATGACCATTGATTCTCTCTGGTACTCCTTGCTCAGGTGGCAGCGCTGGGTCACACAGGACACGTATCTCTCCAGAACATACCAGCACATCTCATAGTAGAAAGGATAGCGGAATTTGGCGTGCACCTGCAAACAAACCAACACCGTCAGCCCTGGGGAAGGCAGGGAAGTTTGCAGCACAAGGGCCAGTCATCATTGCCATGGTGTTATCAAGAGCACAGACAGGGTGAGCAGGGGGAGGGGACAGGGCGGGAGCAGGAGCTGGATGCCTCCAGCATACGGAATGAGGAGCAGCCTGCTGCCACGACAGCATCATTTCTTGCTTCACTAATTTGTATCCTCTTGGGGTGCTGGGAGAGGAGAGGGTTTGTGTTCTTGTGAAATCGTGAAACTGATGGATGGCCCCTACAGAATTATTTACCTGCTGTATAAACATAGGGTGGTCACATACAGATGTTAGTCACTACAACTTAAAATAAAGGAGTGGGTTTTCATCTCCTGAACACTATCACAGGATTTTTATCAAAATGGCAACATTACCTAAAATGAGTCAAGCAGGAAATTCATCTTTTTCATTTGTGGTTGTCTCAACAATTTGATTAAAGAAATGAAGACACAAATTCTTTATAATTACACATTAAAGTAAAAATCCCTTATGTGGTTCACCTTTTGGTAGCAAGTTAGCTTTTGGCACAAACAGAGTAAGAATAGAAGAGAAGGATTTTGACAAAAGATCCTGTCAAGCTGTGTACTTTTCCTTACATCTCAGACCTGTTGTTCTCACACAAAAAGCTGAATTCTCCAACACTAGTTATTTGTAAAGGTATTTCAGATACAAAAGAAAACAAAGAGGGTTTCCTTCCTTTCCAACACAGTTTTTCTATCTGTAGAAGGTCACTGTACCACAGAAGGATCTGGGAAGCTCCTAAAATGCAAGAAGATGTGTATTGTTGTGATTTGTTAAAAATGGATGCCATGCATCTTGCATGCACTTGTACTTGCACTGTACACCTCTCTCTCCTGGTGGCACAGAAATCTGAGTTTTGCAGGCTCACATGCACTGCACTGGGGTTACAGGAGCTGCTTTAAAACATTCTCTGCATTTTCACTGCTCCCTAAGCCCAGAGGTGGCACCACCTTTAGTGAAAAGCTGAACTGCACCAGAAAGGAGCATTACCTCAGAAAATAAACCAAAACACCACCCAGCACAGATGAGCCAAAAGCCCAAATTCTGAACAGAACCACTAACCCAGCAGCTGCAAACTCAGCCTCAGCTCTGCAAAGCAGGCACTGCCCAAACACCTGCAGGTGATCAAAGCACCCATCTGAGCACATCAGTGATTTATGGAATGCCCAGATTTGAAACCTGGCCCCAAGGGGGACAGCCAAAGAACCTGCCTCTGTTCCCAGGCACGGGAAATGCAAACACTCTTAGCAGTAAAACAAAATGTAACAAAGGCAAAAGGTACTGTATTGTCACACTAGATGTATCACAGTGTAGGATTAAATACTCCATGGCAATCCTCAAGTTAAAATCCCTTCAATTCAACACAAATACAGCTGGCAAATCTGAACTGCTTGTTGCTACAGGTCATGCATCCAACACTGCTGCACCTTCCCAAATGTTTCCCTGTGTGATTTGTTACAAAGCACACATATGAAAAAGGAAGGGAAAAAAGAAAAGGAAAAAAAAATCAACCAGCCAAACAACAACCCCCTAAATGTGAGAACATTTAACCCCAGGGCCTTTTTGCATTGAAGAAAATTTTTCCTTTAGTTTAGTTATTTGTCACAGAGAAGAGATCAAGTCACTTATGACTATTAGGGAACACAGGGGAAATTATCCATGCTAAAATATATGCTAATAAAGGAACTCAAATTTTTCCAAGAGAGCACTGCAGGAAACAAAATTTGCAAAGAATTGACTTACAAACAGGAAGCCGCCTTCCACCCCTCAGCCTTCAAAAGGTTTTCAGCCACATGCCTGGGAATATTAAAGACATCATTGCTCAACATTTGTTGACAGATTCTGAGCTTCACCAAATTTAGTTGTTACCAATGTTAATTCAATGTGAAAGACAAGGCAGTAATGCATGCAGTGCTCCCATTATGTATATCAATCTTTAATATTCAATTTGAGTTCCTAATTGCCTCGCTATCAATGTTCCAACCCACAGCAAATCCCTCCATGCCTCTGTAATCCACTGTTTGCCTGAGAAGGCTTTGCTTTTACAAACCTTCAGAAAGAAGAGCTCTCTACACCATCTGTAGACAGAGATACTGTGCAGGGATCTACAGGGCCTTGTGCCAGTAAAGAGACTCCAACAGTGCTTTAAAAACTTTTAAAGTTTGCCTTATGGAAAAGCATAGAGGAATATGCTCTTTGTGATATCCCTGAACATTTATTAATTATAAGGGATGTGAACTGCATTATGTGCATGTCCATACTCCTTCCATTGTACACTCACAGGCAAATGAACTCTTAAGGGCAGGGGAGGAGGAATAGGAGAAAGAAGGAAAAAATTGAAAATGTTCTGTGATGAGTTGGAAGTGTAATATCTGAGACAGACACTGCCAGAGGACTGAATTCCCCACCAGCAGGGAAATACACTGGATCATCTAATAGGCATTTCCAGTTCTAACTTCTGTGATTAATAATTTACAATCCACTGAAAAAAAAATTTAATTATTCCTGTACAGCAAGAAAAAATCCTCTCTGGAATATGATCCATTTCTTCAGTTCAAAGTGAAATTATTTTAGAGATTTATATACCCCTCCAAAAACAAAACAAAAACCCTAAGCAAGTAAGAAACATTTTCCTGAAAAAAGTCATCATCTCTTCCACAATGCCCATTAAAATCATTACAAACTCCACTTGTGTTTAATCAATCTAATCACAATATTGAGAAGCAATTTATGACTATTTACAAAATAATTAAGCTAGCCACTTAATATGTTATCTTACATTCGAAAGCCAAGGGAATAGCAAACACCATCATCTGTGAGTGACCACCTTACGTGTATATTCACAGTGCCCTTGTTCCCACCACGTTCCAGTATTTTCAACAGTTAAATTTAGATTAATTGGGGTTAGGTTTGACACATTCTTCCTCTTCAATACTGAGAGCTGCATCACCCCTGTGCCAAATGATGAATCCCTGCATGGCATCCTGCTCTGCAGCTCCTCAGGCTGGGCTTGCAGAGAGTTAAACAGCTTGGCCTGTTTGACTGGCTGTTAATTGGCCTCCAGGAAAGCCAGGCTGCAAAATGAGAGTCTCTACGAACTGTAAGGCTGGAGAATATTTGTTTACCTCAATTGCACATTAGGAGCTGTTTCCAACAATAGACATGTTTTTTATTACTCCTTAAAACTATTTTTAAATGGCTACAACCCTCTTAAAAAGTCTCCCAGGGGTATGAGGAATTAAGCTAGAATAAGCATGACAAGTATATAAACTAGGCAATTTTATCAGGCTGTAAATCAGCATTACCATTTCAACCCTGTATTTATTCTTGTCTGAGCTAAGACAATAACAACTACACCTAGCATAAAAATGACTTTGAATATCAGCAATCAAAGATGATTAAACATTACGTAGCAGGTTTAAACACAGTGAAACCTCCATAAAATTGCTCTGTGCAAAATGAAGAGAGGAAGCACACCTGTATTACACTTTGATTTGAGTGTAGCAAATTACTTTGTCAATCACATCATGTAATTTACTTCTGTGCCATACACAATGGAAAGATCAATACTGATGAGAAACTCATTTGCAGTGTGCTCATACTGGCAAATTTGGGTGAACTACACTGTACTGAGTCTGCCAGACCAGGCAGTGTATGAATGGAATTATTTCAACATAGAAATGACAAAATTTGATTGACAAAGCAAATAATGTAGTACACACCAGAATCCTGTTTTGAAACCATTTCCCCTTCAAGATTCCTGCACGACATTTTTAGTTGGGGTGGGGGGGGAGTGTTATTATTTCTAAATCACAGTATTGATTTTCCTGCCTTCTATCAAACTTCTGTCTGCCTTAGCTGCACTGCTTCTATTTTGTTTCTGTGCAGAAATTCTTGCTATTCTTCAGCTGTTCACACAGTTCTGGTTTATACATCTGCCCACGAGCACAAGTTTGTGAGCACAGGTACAGCCTGTGCATAACACGCTGCCAGCACAGCAACACCCAAGTGCTGAAATTGCTTCTGTGAAGTCCTGGATATTCTGGGCTGCTGGCTTTTCTAAAGCACTCCAATATTTTTTGCAAGGAAAATGATAAAGAACTACACAGACTTGAAAGAAAATTTAAACAAAAAATGACAAGAACAAAGGTCTGATTTGGGATCTCCAAATGTTGCAGTATCCCTTTCCCAATTAATGGTGACAGGATATTTTTCAAGATGCAGGTACCCAACTCCCACAGCCTCTTCACAGGATCAGTGTGCCAGTAACTTTTAAGAGGCATTTCAGTGCAACTGGCTGGTTAGTTCACATTAGTTACCAAAATATTTGACTGTTATAAGGAGTTTTGCCTGCTGGCATAAAAAGCTTAGAAAATCAAAGCTGCACCCAGCTTCCCAAGCAGCAGGGCCTTGAAGCACAGCTGAGCAGCCACAACCCAGGTTGTGTGATCTTGGGTAGCTCAAGGCCTGTGTGAGCAAAATGTCCATTTGTATACCACTCAAGAACAAAAGAGCATTTCCTGCCCATCTTCCCCAAAGACTTCAATGGAAATCACTCATTTCTGGCACTGATCCTCCCTCCCAGTCTCCCCTTCTCCAAGTGAGCCCCTGTGCAAACATCCTCCCCAGCAACAGCACACCTGCAGTGACCTCCCAGCATCTACTGCAGGTTCTTATTTACAGTCACTCTGGAAACCTCCCTGTGCCTCTGCCAGGCGAGCCCCTTCCTGCTCCTGTCACCAAAACCTTCCTGCCCAAGTCCCTCTGCACTTTCTCAAGACACTTGACACTCTCACCTGTTCAAAGCCAGGCTGAATCCACTCTGGTCTCTGCTTCTGCTCTCTGACACACTCCTCTGTTCTAATTCCCCCTAAATTTCAGCTTTTGTCTTCATCTCTCTTCCAATAAGAATTCAGTTTTCTGCTTCTCTCCATTAAAGTCACTCCAGGAAACCCACTGCTCCCACCAGTGTTTTTCAGTGTGAACATCACCAGGGAGGCTGGGGGGAGCACACCTCACTCCCACTGAGGCAGAGATGTACTTAAAACAATTTGTATTTGCTCCAGGCCTATGCACTCTCACTGCAAAGGAAGCAATTTGGGGTAAAAGCCAACTTGGAGCAAGATTTGTGCCCTCTTGTAGGGGTGAACAACAGTGAACTGCACTGATGTCCACAACACACTGTTTTAAGACTTTTTAGTGAAGAAGAATTGCAATTTCCTGCTATTCTGCTAACACCAAAGCTGGCACCTGTGTCAGGGGTTTATCAGCACTGTCTCACAGTGAGGCCTCCAAAACAGCCCCCATCTGGATTGCACATCCCTCTGCTCCATTTTTATATCAGAATGCCACAGTGGCCTTGCACAGGTTATTTAACAGCCTAATAAAACAGAGTCACTTCCTTCAGATCCTGCTGCTTTTTGAAACTCAGTGGGTATGATGAGCAGGTGCCCTGTTTATTAACCAAGGATAAAACTGTCACCCCAACAAAGAGGTGGCCCAGTAACTCCCCAGCCTTTCCCTCAGTAACTCCCCAGCCTTTCCCCCAGGTAGGTGCTCAGGCAGATGAACATCACAATGTTCAGATCAATGTCCCAGCCCAGCCTCTCTGTTCCAAGAAATCTTGCCTGGTATCAAGTCCCTGTAGTGACTGCCAATTACAGAAGATGTCATTTCATACACAACTTCTGCCCAGCTTTGTCAGCTCAGCTGTGGGCAGCACAACCAGCCCAGTGCCATCAGTTCTCCAGGATCATCCACCCCAGGTGGCACAGAGAGGTGACAAGCACAGGGTTACCAGAAACACTGGTACAAAGGTCTGTAAAGTGCAATGTGCTTTTGTGCAAAAGGGAAGGTGTTTTCTGGAAGTTTAACAGGCAGACAAAAGACACAGAAGGGACACATCTGTGGGAAGCACATGAGTAAATCCCACTAAAAATAACCAACATTTGAAAGTCTCATTACTTCATGTTTACCTCTTGTTTCAACGACTCTGACACGGAGATCCCATCAGTTGTTGTTTGTCAGAGGGGAATATGAGGGAGAGACTGTGACAGATCACAGTCACAAAGAACTGCTCAGTTAAAAAGAGAATCAAGAATCCTTACCCTTGTTCTGTCCTCAATTTCATAGATGCGAAGCTGCATGGGAACATTAAAGCTATGCAGGATATTTCCACCAAACACCAGAGAATCTACTGGAGTATAAACCGCGTGTATCCACCCTAGAGAGGAAAGCAGAGAACTGAGAATGCCTCGTGCTATGCAGCATTACAGAGCAATTTCAAATCAAATTTTAACAACCCTCTGAACCCCACTGAGCTGGGGATGAGAGGTTCGAGCAGTGAAAGGTTAAATGGGATGCTCACAGCCACACTTCAGGACTGGTCACAGCAGAAGGGCACCTTGTGACGTGCAGTCTTACAACCCCCTGGAAATCAGTTCTATTTATTCCCCCAACACTTGCAGTGTTTACTGAGCACACGCAAGTTTGTGACTCAACCACGTCCATGACTAAGAAGTAAACTCAGTCTGTTCCATGCACTTGGCTCCCAGACTGGCACCTCCAGCATGGCTGCAAACCATCTCAGCAGTGGTGGTGGGCCAAGGGCTGTGCAACTGGACTGAGGCACACCAAACTTCCTTCACACTGCACACAACACACCTCCAGAGGTAAAAGATTGCAAATTATTACCAGCCCTCCTTAGGGGGTGAAAGTTTCATCACCCACAATCAACTTCCTGAAATAACCAAGAAATCATTTGCACTGCAAACCTCAAGTTAAGGGATTTAACATTTCTGATACTGGAGCAGATGAGAATGTTCTGACCCAATCCTACAAGGGACTGAATTAATTTCACAGGCTCCAAAGAATCTTCTGTCACAATGAAAATCCAGGCACAGCAATTCAGGCAGCCACACACCAGCTCTTCTGCCTCTGCATTGTTTGCTTGGTCTGTCAGGAGCTGAAGCTCTGGCTATGCAAGACTGTAGCCTCTGATCTCTGCAGTGAAAAAGGAATTGATCCTGCTAATGATCTGGGACCCACAGAGACCTGACACTTTTTTTCCTCTTCTTTTTAATGAAAAGCATTACAATTTATAAACCAGCAGACAGCAAAGCAACATGGGGGGCAGTCAATTTTCTCCTGACTGTGCAGTACTTTCCATTAAAGCTGTGGCAGCTTTCCCTCACTTCCAGATCAGTGAGGGAGCAGGGAAATGCCATTCAGCCTAGAGGGTTTTCCAGCCAGCAGCCACAAAAGTGCTCCTCCACAACAATTTTTCAACCATAAAGGCCTGCAAAGCTCTGTCTGGGAAGCCCTTGAGCCACAGCAGATGGCAGGACTGGGGCTCTCATTTAAGGGCAGGTTGGTAGGAGAGCGATGGGAAGGAAAAGGAATCAGCAGTAGAATTTTCTCCCTGGAAACACAAGCCCATCACTCTGGATATATTTTTCTGAATGGTAGAGGCTGGAGGGGACCTCTGGAGGTCCAACCCCCATGACCACCAAGAGGCAGCTGCACAGAACTGTGTCCAGATGGCCCCATGGCATCTCCTGGGATGAAGAGTCCACAGCCCCTCTGGGCAGCCTGCTCCAGGTTCCAGTCAGTTCACAGCTCTGACTCCACACACGACATGTGATGCACACAAAACCATCAGGTGGCTCACGGCTCTGGCAGCTCTCAATATTCCACCTTTCCTTCTCTGGTCAGCATCATTTCAGTTACAGAGATCCAGCCTGTTTATTACTTCCAAATCAAGAACAATCAACTAGAGAGGATTTTTTTTTTTTTAATCTAAGGGTAGGGTGGCAACTACACACCTCAACATTATAAATACTTCACAGCTGAAGTAGTTCAGCAGCTCTCCTGAAATACATTAGTCTGTACTAAGAGCAAACTACTACAAAAATTCACGATCCTCATCCCAGTCTTTGGGAAGGAAAACAGATCCAAGGTGAAGGAAGTTGGGGCCACTGTTTTCACTGGGTAAACAAAGATTTCTGTGGTTGGGGGAAAGAGTGGAATCCAAATACTGAGGCAAATCTGGGTCCCCAAACTCACTGGCTGGGTGCTGAAACAGAGGGTTGGTTTGCATGACAATCCACTTTAATTGTCAGGTTTAGAGATAAACAAACTGAAACTTGAAAAAGTGAAATGACTTTCATGGCCCCCAGGAGTGAGCTCAGAACCAGGCAGTGACCAGCAGAACACTGAGGAGCCCTCAGCACCCTTCCCACAGCAGCTCTCTCAGCACTGTGTCAATGTCCAACCTTAGTGCAGCTGTTATTTCAGTGAAATTATCAACATCATTCAAAATACAATTTGCTATCAAATATTTACAATTTGATTAAAAGGAATAACTGAGCTGATTCTTGTCCTATTTGAAGGGTTGAAAGGAGATAGCCCTTCATTTAATAATCAATAAAATTAAATCCCACCAATGCAGTTGTTCTTTGGGTGGGTGCTTCCACTGAAACCACACAGTAACATTCTCCTACAAACTGTATTTCCTCAGTGAACATTTCACTGGAGTGCAGCTGGTTTCACTGTTTCCTGGTTTGGGTCTCTCAACACACCTCCCTTGACTTCTCAATGCTACCCCTATGAGATGCTGAGGGTTTTTGTGTTAATAACTGCCAGACTTTCTTGGTAGTAGTCCCAGTATTTTTGGGAGAAGTGTGGAAAGATCTATCACTGGCTTGAGCCAATGCTCTAACAAATGGTGTTCCAGACATGACAAACCCTGCACAGAAAGAATCATGAACACAAATATCATTTCAAGCATCCACTCTTGCAGAGCTGGTACAGTGCAAACTGAAAATCTTCTGTAAAGTATCTGAAACAACCTCTGGCTCTGTGGAGGTCTTTAATTCCCTACTTGCATTTATAATCCAGGACTAAATATCTGACAAGCAATTAGTACCTTCATCTCCCAGCTGCTGAATTAACTGAACGCTAGGTCCTTCAAGCTGCAAGTATTTCTAATAACAAGACTGAAAATATTGCTGTTAATGACACAGTTGTCAGTAGCAAAACCGTTTAAAACACAGCAATAAAATCCATCAGGATTGGGAAAAGAAAAATAAACGAGAGACCAAGCAACAAAGTCATCCTATAAAGTCCTGGGAAGTCAAGCTCCTAGCCCTGCCAAGGCAGGGATGATTTCCAGGCACAGCTGATGCCTGTGGGTGCCCTCAGTGCTGGGGAATCCCAGATTTCCTGCAGTCCATGTGCTCCCACAGGCAGCATCCAGCTCAGCCCCTCTGCAGGACACAGCCCTGTCAGAGGAGTCACCTGCACATAAAATAGATTTTGGTCACTCAGCTGTGCAGCATTTCAGTCACACTGCATCCCAAAATAGCTCCCACTTGCCTGAGGAACGTACGTGCATAATTGGAACTGCAGAGACACGAGCACCAAGAGGTGGATTCCAGGGACACAGGACAAGGTTACACAAAAAAGATGGGAAAACTGACAAGGCACAAAATCCCAGCAAGATTGGCACAGATGTTACAGAGGAAAAAACCCAACATGAAAATCTCTTGTTCTAATACTAACCAGGCTGTGTGTGGAGAAAAACTGCAGGTCAATACCAGAAAAGTAGAAGTAGGAGGAAAGAGAGATGAGCAGAAAACAGGAAACAGTTTCCATCAGGGTAATGTATTGTGGAAATGAGCTCTGAGGAAGGAGAAGCTTGGATGGCACATTCAATCCATTCCCACAGCTTAGCTACAGCACGACTCAGAAATAAACTGAGGAGGATGAATGTTCATTGTGACCATTTGCAAACAAAACCACCCATCTTGTCAGCTCCCAATTACCAGGGTTTTTAAAGGGGAAGACAAACCCCCAGAGCAGGAGGTGCTGCACGTATGGGGAAGACAAAAGGACAGCCAAGGGATTTGCTTTAATGCCATCCATCACATCCCTGCCTCACCTTCACCTGTGCTGTTCCATTTTGCTGGATGCACTGAGGGTCTGTTGACATTTCAGATCGTGTCACCTGTGCTGAACAGCCTGTCATGCCTGCTCCTGTGTGTCTGACTGCCAGCTCTCACAGCACAAACTTCCCACACAGCCCCGACACCTCTGCAGTGAGTTCATCAGCTCTGTCCTCAGTGACTGCTCTGTGCTGCTCACACAAACCCAGCTCCTGCTGCAAAACCCTCAGTGTTCAACGGCTTCATGTGAGCCAGGAGATAACTCCTCACCTCTTGGGAACTGCCTCACAAACAGAGAAAAATGCCAAAATTTCATCTTATCCTCAATGCCAAAAAAAGCACTGGAACAATATCAGAACAACTGGAATAAGGACTGAAAAAGTCAAAAGTCAGTGGAACGAGAAATTGTTAATTTTTGTCTGAAAGCCACAAACTAAAGCACCTGCTAAATATTACCTAAAGCTACAATTAAATCCTACAGATGAGAGGAGGACTTTGAGGACCAGCCATGAGCCAGGAAGATTCCTGCCTGTGGGTGCTCATTTATTCCCCAAGCAGTGCCAGCGACATGAGGGGGAACCAGCTCCAGTCCTGCCCAGCACAGCTCAGCCCCATGGGATAAATGGATTTGGGAGCACAGACACTGCAGTCACTGCTCACAGCCCTCGTGTCAAGCCTCAATAAGAAGACCATCCACTTAAGGTTTTTCTGAAGTTGATGGTTTTTATTTCAGCTCCTGGCGATCAATAAGTGCTTTTTCCTTCCCAAAACAATCCCAGTGTATGAAGCCAAGCCAAGACTGAGCAGGAATTCTCTTCAGGAGACTCAGAAATGCTCTCAGCTGATTTCCAGTTATGAATTATTCCACCACTCCTAAGATACACTTGAATATTTAGATGTTATCATTTCTAGTAAATCAAGAAGGTAAAATTAACAGTAACAAACACTTTTTCTGAACAGTTAAAAGAAAGATATGATCTCATTATCTTTTGAATTTTATAAAACAAGTATTATTAAACATTGCAAACTTGTAAGAAGATTTCAGTGGGCTGCAAATTCCTACTCAAGGATGCAATCATCCATCTGAGAATAATGAAAAAGAATATTAACTTATAAAGCTATGGGGCAAACAGCCTACAAGCTCCAAGCCAAAACCATGCTGCATCTGTTTCCATTAGTAACTGAACTGATATTTTGCCTTGTGATATTGAAGTTGCCACACATTTCTCTGCAATTCTACAGCAACTTGGGGTGGAAAAGATGAAATATATATGTCTCAAAAATAAAAAGTGACTAAAGAGGTAACCTGAGAGTGGGCACTGTCAGCAAATCAAACCTCAAAAGAAGAATGACTGCATCATAACAGTGCCCACAACCAAATCTATCAAGGAAAAATCATGTTTACATTTTTAAAGTGAAGTATTTACTAATTCTGCCCCAGTAGTACAAGTAATACAGCAACTCTCAATCTTAAATTGTTTTTAAGAATGAGGTAGAGCTTGGCATTAGGAATAGAATCAAAAATCCAGCATCATGCTGTCACCTTCCCTCTGAAAGCAGACTCAGAGCAAAAAGCCTCTCCCCTCTGATGCCCCCACAATCTCCTTCATGTGGCCCCTGAGGTTCCAGGCACGGAGATTCCATTAATGTCAGTGGAAGCTCCCAGAATGGGAGAAGCTAAACAGCAACCAAACCCAGGCAGGCAGCTCTGCAGCCCCAGCACAACACCCTGCAAAAAATGTACCAGCCACAATTTAATAGCCTGTCATTCTCCTGCTGGAAGGGCTCTGTGCCACCTTCTGGCCCCATCACACAATAATCCATCAAACTCTCACTGGCACAGCAGAGGTGACCCAGGACCACACACTCCTAATAGGCAAAATGCCACTGATAACCACTGAGACAGCATCTGAAACACCCTGAATCCCTGCAAATAGCTGCCTGCAGTCCACACAGAACATCTCTTTCTGTCCACTCTCCTTCCCAAAAACATCCATCTGAGAAAGGTCATTATTTCTGCATTTGACTGGAGACAACAACTCTGCAGCACTCTCAGGTAACCACAGTAATTAAGAGAGACTCTAACAGCATGTTTCCATGCCAAAGGCCCTCAAGTGCAGTACAGAGAACATAAGAAAAATAAAGTCAAACAAACAGCTTACTCCTCAGTGGAACACTGCCAGCTCCCAGGTGAAACACAACTGTTATGAAATTGCATGCAGCAACATGAGAAGTTTGAAGAACCAGAAAGGAACATCACCCAGTTGACAGCAGGTCACCCTGTCTGGAGTTTGATCACAGGAATGTTGAATAAATCAGCACTGCAGAAAATGCTGAAAATGCACCTTGGCCCATAACAACTCACTGTGCTGACAATACTGGGCTCAGTTCCTCCCTGATACCACAGCTGGGGTCGTGCTCTCAGTGCTCTGCAGGGTTACAAACACCAGCAGAAATCTGCTGGTTTAAACTTAATCCTGAAAGGATGAGGGCAGTGATGGAGAGGAGAACACCCTGAGGCCCTGGTGAGCACTGTAATTATGCCTTCCCTGAGAATGATCCCCATCCTTGTCCAAGTGGTTTGTACTTTTGAGGATTTACTGGATCTACTGCTGATCCCAGATTCTCAGACAAACCTTCCATTTCCCAGCACACTGTGATTTCACTCCCTCACTTGTCTTCTTAAAGTCTTCTCTACTTACTTCACCCCCACAGTGCTATGGTAAAACAGCATTTCTGGGACTCCCAGAAATTACTTGAAAGCAGAAGCAGAGCAGGATATTTCATGGGAAAGGTCCCTTGCTGAAATGCTCCCCATTCACAGCCCAGCTGAGCACTAATTCCTCTACACTTTCTGTGAGCAAACCTGTAATTAGAAGGTATTTCCTCATGGATGAGTTGAGGCTGGTCAAGGGTTTATCAGGCTCAGTTGAAAATACAGGACACGCTGGTTTTACAGACATCCATAAACAGAATCTAAACACTAAGAACACTTTTAAAGCACATAAAAACCACTTTCAAACATTAACTAACATGATATGTGCACAAACCAGAGCAAAGAGGTCACAGGAATTGACCTGCTTTACACAGCTGTGCTCAATTCACTGACCTGGAACAGCCTTTAATTAGGCATTTCCATACCCTTAAAACAAAGGCAGAAATAATGCCCTTTCACACAAATAAGAGATTTGCAAATAAGTTTTCCAAACAACATACAGCAGAGCAAAAATCCACGAATCTATGAGGTGCTTACAGAGAAATTATTCATAAATGCTTTTCAAATCTGGCATGGAGCCTAAAATGTCTGAGGTATTGGCATTTCTGTACTTGGGGCTTTCCTAAGAAAACAGAAACTCCAGTCAAAAACCCATTTGGAATCACTTTGTGTCAGCCACCATGTTACAGCTGTGTCCTGTCCAAGCTCCCACAACCTGCAGGGTTCCAGCTGCTGAACACGACTGAACTGACACACAGAAACTCTTACTTGTACAAGGCTTTTCACAGGAGGATGGAGATAAACAGAGGATGCAGTAATGGGATCTAAGCAAACAGCACAGCCACACTCAAACACCCAGTTCAAACAGTAACAGCACAGTCTGACCTGTTTCAAGGCAAGATCTAATTCCTCTAACAGATTAACTCCTCCACCCTTTAAGTAATTTTGCCTGTCATCTCCCAGGCTGATTCTTACCAAATACTTAAAAATGTGCAAATCTGTGGCCTTCAATTGATCCTAACACCACTCCCCAGATGAGAAGAACATTGTCCCTGTCTCTGCATGACCTGCATTCTCTCTGTTTCTAGGGTTAAAAAATAATAATCCTATCTCCACAGAGTAATTAATTCCAGAGCTGAAAAATTACCAGCCTGCCTTTGTGTCATGTAGAAAGTCTACCTGTATTTACTTCCCTGGTAAGATCCAACAGACAGAGGCAATGTGTTAAATTATTATAAACAAACATACAGTCCCATAATAGTCACAGAAAGCAAAGTCTGATATAATCTTAAATGAGGGATGTTACACATTCCACCACCCTTAATCCAATTTAGGCAGGAGCAGACAGGGCTGAAGCATCAGCCTCCAAAGCTACAACTCTTTGGTGGCTTTGCAGGATGAGCCTGGACCATGCAGCACAGCCACTGAGGGGGGCAGCAGTGTAAAACTGAGGTGCCTGGGCTGCTGAAGATGTCCAGATTCAGCACCTCTGAACAGTGAGAACAATGAAGCTGTTTCCCCAAGAAGCAACCTGAGGGAGCACAGCACAGCTCTGCCATGGACTGGAATCTCTCCTGAGTTCCACCAGGACCCACCTCTGGCTACAGACAGAGGCAAAGAGGCAAGTTACTGAACTGCAGGTGAAACCTGCCAGAAGAGATCACTAACAGAGAAAACTGTCTTTCCCAGAAAGCCAACAGCAGCAGCCAGTGCAGCTCTGATGAGAAGCGGTGAACTGACAGCTCCAGAGGCCCAACTCCTCTCTCCTTTCTCCCAGTACACACATGATCACTGCACACACCTCCTCACAGTACATCTCCCATCAGTCTTAACTTCTGGAAAATGAAGCACATTTAGTCCCTGGCCTTTCTTGTGCCACAGCAAATAAGGAGGTCAGTATGGAGTTTAGGTGTGAAGAATTGTTTTACACAGAGCTGTTAGTAAAACACAATCCCAATCATTCCAGGTTAGTTAACAGGGATACCTGAAGGAATGAAGAAGGTGTAGCCTTGTTTCAGCTCAATTCTTTGGCATCGTTCCACCCTGTCTCCCAGAAAGATATCACTTTGCTTTCCTGAGAGAACCCATTCTTCATAAAGTTCTAGATTCTGCAGAGTCGGTGGAATCAGCCAGAAGATCTAAAAACAAAATGAAGATTTAATTATTACCAACAGTCAACAAAAAGAAACAGCTGAGAGACTCCACCAAGGCTACAGTGTGTCAGGCAAACGAGCTCCTTTCTGCATGGAACACTTGTTTTCCAGGTGTGGTACACAGAGGCACACACAGACAGCAGCAGCAATTAGCCCACGTGCTGGAAGTGCCTGGGTAACTGTCACTTGTCATCTCTCCTCCAGAAATATCTTACTCAGGAGCTGCCTGTGCTTCACCTGCAGCTCAGAGCAGTGAGCTGGTACAGACAGGAACAGGAGCGGCACCATGACCGACTGCAGCGCCCACCACACGCTGGCCACTGCAACTGGGAAAAACATCCTGAACCAGGAAAGATGGCAACACAGCTCCACATGCTGTGTATTTTAAGGCTTCTGTATCCTTTAATGTTTCAGCTCTGGCTTATTGTGCTGTACACACAAAGAAACGTGGAATCTCTAAAGGAACAGAAGCTTTAGCTCCAGAGACTTGTGAGGGCACTCTGACCCAACAAGGGTACACACAGCCACATCTCCCTGCAAGATCCTTCTGGACCACAGCAACAGCGAGCCCAAAATCACCAGCACCAGCAAATAACACATTTGGGATTTCAAATAAATCACTTGTTTGTTTCATACCAGTGACTGGTGTCCTTCTAGTTCAGTAAACTCTGTGTGGATCAACAAAACTGCTGAAATAGTCTGATCACTGGCTGATATCCTCAAGGGAAAAAAAATAAGAGAGAAAGAAAGGGGGAAAAAAAGAAAAGAAAGCAACCACTCCACTCTAAGAGGCATAGAGAAATAAAACCAAATATCAAAAAAGGTTCACCTACCTTCCCCCCACGGAAAACGTGATACCACACTGAAGTGCCACCAAAATCAATATGAAAATCAGTGAAGCATCCTTTCACACTCATCAAACAGTACCTGCAAGTAGAGTGAAGGACAAAAATGAATCAGTCTGAAACAGTATTTTTCACATCTTAATTTGCAGAGGTTAACTGCCTGTGCAATGCTGCTTCCACCAATTAAGTTTCTGCATTTACAGTACAGAAATTTGTCTCATGAAGGTAATGAGGTTCCTGCTGAAAAACACATCTCTCCATGTCTGAGTTTGCTGTTCATACAAGAGGAATTAAAGCTTCCAGAGTTAGGGAACAGAAAAACATTAAAAGTTAGGCTGTTCAGAAATATTTCCTATGGCACTGCCTGTCCCTGGGGTGATCTGTTTAATGCTCTCCTCCATCACTTCAGAGACATAACCTTCACCAGAAGTTGTACACAAATTGCTGCAAAGTTTTGAAAAATCTAATTTGCTTATAAATCCTCCTGAATGTTCTTTACCTACTTGCCACTCATGCCATTTTTGCAAGGATTAGGGGACAGAAACCTCATTTGGCAAACTAACTCCTTTTTGTTCACATTTCTAGGCATTCTGCATCAAAACACATAAAGGACCCAGCTGGCAGCCACACTAACTATCAAATCCACTATTTTTTACGCCGTCTTGATACAGGATTTGAGCAGTTCAAAGTCTGCATTGCTGGAAAAGACACCAGAGCTGTGGTCTGGCTGCAGGAATCTCCAGCCTGCAGCCACCATCTGTAACTAATGGCCGAATCACAGCCGCCCTCCTCACTGTAGGCACCTTTGCAAACGCAGGAAACACACACCACTTAACCCACTAACCTCTTTTCCTTGTTCCGGTCTCCGTTTCATGGCTTTTTTTTTTTTTTTTTTTTTTTTGCTTTGGTTTGTTTTTTTTTTAAGGGGAGTTATGGAAACACTACCGGAAGGGGATTTGTTAAAAAAAAAATTTAAAAAAAAAAGGGAAAGGATTAAAAAAAAAAAAACCAAAAAAAGGTTTGATTTAAGTGTGTCTTTTTCTGCTCACATTCAGATAGGAGAAGCTCAGCAGTATGCAGCCGGCGTGCAGAAGTCCCTGTAGATGATAGGCTGGGAAGGACCTTACCATGTGTCTGCAGCAGGCTGGCAAATCACAGCCACTCTGGGTCCATAAGAGCCGCTGCCTAGCAACCACATCCCGAGCCGGAGTTGACAGAATGATACGCAATGCTGTCATGAAGACAGTCAATTTGTGGGCTTCAAAAAAGGTCCTGCGCCTTCATCTCACAATTAAAACCTCTCCTTGTGCAATTACACGTCTCTCCTCTTGCCCACTCTGGAATTTTTTGAATTTTTTTTTTTTTTTTTATCCTTCAGAAGCAGGAAGAAGCTTTTGCTGCCCCTGGGGTATTTCAGATGCTTCAAAAATCACAGCTAGCCAAGAAGCTGTCTACACTCTCAATATGCTCCATTTCAAAATATGAGTCCTTCCCTCCCAAACACTTTTTTTTTAAAAATTCTCCTTTTATGTTTTCTCTACCAAGATGTTGTTGATTACAAGTCAGATAGAATTTAAAAACAATAAAAGAAGCCCAGAAAGGAAGTTGCCTTTCTTCCAGCCAAACTGCAAAAAGTCACAGATTGAATAATTATTGCTCATTAGGAAAAAAAAAATCAGCATAGAAATTTTCAGCTTGTAAGCACTGCTGAGTGTTAGAGGCTCATGTTGTTTTAAAGTAAAAAATTCAAATCCTTATGGAGTCAATTATTTTCAGTTTCCAGAAGGCCAGATATTAAAATACATCACACCAACAACAAAAAAATTTCTAGACAGTGCAACCTATCAACAATCACCCCCTGAATTAAGATATTCTGGAAGAGCAAACATGGCCTGGGCATTAGCTGGTTTTAGCTGTTCCTCAGTAGTCAATAATCTAAACCTGAAGCAGGCAAACCGTTTATGTTCAGAGAGGTAATAACAGCACTGAATCCTGTCAAATCAAAGTGCTTAAAATTTAGTTTTGTGAGGAAACACCAAAGCAGATATAACTGTGAACACACAACTCTTTCTTTTCCATGTTTTTCCTCATTTTCCCCTCTGCTTTCTTGAAACTCCTCTAAACACAATTTCCACTCCAATAAAGGTGATTTTAGTGAAAGAGTCACTTATGGCAATTAATAAAAACCTGCAAAGGCATTTGGAAAAATAAAGTGTTTTTTCTTTCCATCCACAAACAAGCCATGCCTTAATTTATGCTGTTAATCTCCCAGGCCTGCTTTTGTCCAAACCCACCAGCTCGCGGGCGGCTGAGGAGCCTGCGGGAGGATGTTCCGCCACGCAGCTCTGTGCTGGCTGCCCGAGCCTGGCACAATGCCTTTGCATTGACCTCCACAGCTTCCTCTCCCGATGCACACCGCAGTCACATGGGCCCAGCGCGCTCCGTGCCACCGCTCATCTCAGGCACCGGCTCCTCATCGCCAACAGCTGCTCATTTGGGGAACCACTCAACTTTTCAGGGTTTTCCATAACAACGGTGGGGAAAAAATAAATAAATGAAAAAAAAAAAAAAGGGGGGGAAAAGCACTAACACAGCACCCACGTTGAAAGAAATCTAGGAAATACATCCCACTGTGTGCTGTGGCCCCCACGGCGCTCTGGGCCAGGACAGGTACAGCGGTTCCAGGAACACAATCCCATATCGGGCATGGGGAGACAGCATGACAGAGTTACACCCTGAAAACGCAAGCAACCCAAAAGATGCCCCAAGTTGAATATTTTCACAACAGCTACCACATCCAACCCCTGCACACTCCACTTTATCTCCCTGCACAGCCTCAGTCAGGGTTTTAAAACACGCAGCTGCTTGTAATCGGTTTGGGGGGAGCTTCCCTTCCCGAATGAAGAGTTTGGTTTGTGTTCTCCACAAGCCTGAAATTTGTCCAGTTAATGTATTGTTATTTTGGAGGAAAGATTTATGATGTGGAAAAAAAGGGGAACTTCCCCCTCCCACCCCCCCCCAACAAAAAAAAAAAAAAAAAAAGGAAAAAAAACCAAAACGAAAAAAAACCCCACAAACATCTGGGGAAATTTCTTAGAGAAATGATGCGAAGAAATATGGAGTAACCTGCAAACTCACGAGGAAGAACAAACACAGAGATCTAAAAAAAGAGAGGGAGATGATACAAATGAAGCTAAACCACTAAGCAAACACAGCGAGCTGGTAACACAGGAACAACACAGACACCGCTCCATAAACCAGCGCAGAGCCCACACTCCCAGGCAAACCCACAATGCACTCGCCACGCATCGCTACAAACCCGCAAGCAAACAGAGAAACAAAGACAGCGAGAGCCGCGCCGGGATGCGAAGGCAGCGGCGGGCAGGGCAGCAGCGGCAGCGTTCATGCACATGGGCCCGGCGAGACGCGAGCGGACGCACAGGCAGCGGCGGCAGCAGCGTTACCCCGAGCTCAGCTCCTTCTCCCCCGCAATAGGCACCGCGCACCATACGGCTCTATTCCCTCTGGCATTGCGAGGGCTCCCCTGCCACTGAGCTCAGCCCATAAACCACTCCCAAACCCCAGCAGAGGCTTCTGTTTTTTGTTCGGGCCAATGAGAAAAGTATAGCTCACTCTTCCTTCCTCCCAGGAGCAGCGCCGGCTGGTTGAAATCCCCGAGCCTGAAACCGAATACCACAGACCCATGAGCCAACTGCAAGTGCCAGCGCGGGGAAAGGCGCGGGCCTGGCTGCCCATCCCC